GAAGTTAAGTCAGTAGAAAACCTCCTCACAACATTTTTCAAAATAGGTCGAGATTTTGGAATTTACATCAATATAACTAAGTTTTAACCACATTTGTAGCTGACGGGTGACCCAAGACCAAAATTTGAGGGATTTTAACACAATTGAATTGACAATAAATAAAATTCTTCACACGGTGAAAGAAATAATAAAAAGTTTGAACCTGCCGAAATTGGCGCCGCTTTAACTTATTCTAACTTTGCTAAAAGTTCAATATGAAGTAATACTTGTCCTTGAAAAAGGAACTTTCTTCACATTTAATATTGTTTGTGTCGGAAAATAAATTTCTAATCTTCGTAGACTAGAAAAATAATTAACTAATGTGTCCACATCCACTTTAGAAGACATGCTCAACATGCGAAATAGTCTGCTCGTTAGCCGGATTAGCAGGATGGTGATGTGAACAGAAACCACTTGATTCTTTAGCATTTAACACTTTGCTGAGTGTTCAAAAGTATATAAAATGCCTTTTATTCATAAAAAAAAACTCCTAAAAGTCTTCTAGCTACAAAAGGCCTCTGAACAGTAACATTCTTTATCAATTTCACTTACACGGATTCCACTGTATTATAAAATCTAATTAATTTCTATTTCAACTAAATAATTGTACATTAATGTGTTTCGCTTGGCTCCTCCATACTTGGCTGCTTGTATGTTTTTTGTTTTATAAACAGAGTACAATCGCGACTATAGGGTTATTCCAATTGAAATTATCTATTTCTTGCCATCTAACCACTTGTCCAATTTTCTTCACAATTCAATTGATTTGAACTTATTGTTTTTTGTGTGATAATATACACCTTGGGAATGTTGAAACGATGATATACATACCGATATTTATGTCATTATTAGTAGGTGGAATGAAAAAAACAAAATCAAAAAAATTGAATTTTGTTAATTGTCAAATTAGTTTAAACCAAAGCAAAGTGGTGGTATTTATTATCAGTCAGTGTTTAAAACGGTTACTTTTTTGTCAATGGAAAATTACCATTTGCGAATTTTATTATATATTCAGATGAAATGGAAAGTTTTTGTGCAAATGCGGTTAGGGAGTGGAAAATTTTTGGGGGTTTTTCGTATTTTCAAGGAAATGCAACTCACAAAGACCTCGATTTAATTACTATGAATCAATATTTCCGGAATTTGTTTATTTATTTAAAAATATATGATTTAAATGAAATATGCAGAGTTGAAATGGAAAGTTTTTGTGCAAAACCAGTAAGCGAATGGAAAATTTTGGGGAGTTTTTATAAAATAAAATTTGGGAAAATGCATTTTTTACAATTTCTACGATTTTTGACAAAAAAAATATAAATAATTTTGTATTAAATGAAAATGTTTTGTGCAAATTCTGTTTTTGAGTGGAAAGTTTTGGGGAATTTGTGTAAAATTAATGTTAGGAAAATGAAACAAGTAGGGATTTATGTTATGTTTAATATTTCCGCTTTTAATGTGAAGTATATAAAATAATTTAGAATATTCAATTTGCGAATGGAAAATTTTGGGGAGTTTTTATAAATTAAAAATTGAAAAAACGCAGATTCAGCGATTGGACAGCGATTCATAAGTAAGACTGATTTTTTTAAAATTATAAATAATTTCCTATTAAATGAAAATGTTTTGTGCAAATTCTGTTTTTGAGTGGAAAATTTTGCAAGTAGAGATTTATGTTAGGTTTAATATTTCCGCTTTTGTTGTGAAGAATATGAAATAATTTTAAAATATTCAATTTGCGAATGGAAAATTTTGGCAATTTTTCAGGGTTGTGATTACAAATGAAATGGAAAGTTGTATTCACAAGTTGTTTGCGAATGGAAATTTTTGAATATTACCTAATACTAAACTTGAGGAATAACTAACTTAGTGCCTATATAATAATAATAATTGTCTAAGGGAATTTTTCTCTCCAACCAAAGATAAAACAATAATAAGTATTTTTGTGTGCTTTTTTATGTTTTCAATTCAAATGGAAAGTTTTGGGCTTATTTTGGTAGCGAATGGAAGCTATTGAAATATGAGAATATCAACAACGAATCTCTCTCAATCCTTACAATTTTGTTCATACGAAATTAAAAAGAGTTCCTGCCATATACAACACAAATGTATGAATGATAATAATAAAATAAATCAAGAAGTATGAAAAATATATTTTAGGCTGGAGTAAGGAATGTCTGGCTAGTTTAGGTTAGGTAAAATGATGCGCGGTTGTAAAAACAATCCCTCCACTGCGAGACCTATTGGTCCATTGTGTTCATTCTAATTTATGAAGATAGGAGAATAGAATAAAGAGAAGAGAAGGAAATGAATAACGGATAGTGAAGAAGCGAGAATCTGAATAAAGAGTAGAGAAGTTAGTAGTAGGTTTGCATCCACGATGTATCAGCGTGTCGCCCTTAGCCATTTTAGTCTTCTGGCTAACTGAAGAATGGCCGCTGGCTCTGTGTCGGAGAGGGAGTACAAGTCTGGCAGAATTTGCTTACCCAGTAGCCTCTGTCTAACTCCTATAAGGGTTGGACAGTGGCAGAGTAAGTGCTCCACCGTTTCAGTTTCCTCCTCGTCCTGACAAAGCCTGCAGTATTCAGTGACGTCACCCTCCATTTGGATATCATGGGCTTTATGTTGCAGTGTTCTGTAATTAGGCCTATCACCAACTGAAGAATGGCCGCTGGCTCTGTGTCGGAGAGGGAGGACAAGTCTGGCAGAATTTGCTTACCCTGTTGCCTCTGTCTAACTCCTATTAGGGTTGGGCAGTGGCAGAGTAAGTGCTCCACCGTTTCAGTTTCCTCCTCGTCCTGACAAAGCCTGCAGTATTCAGTGACGTCACCCTCCATTTGGATATCATGGCCTTTATGTTGCAGTGTTCTGTAATTAGGCCTATCACCCGCTTCAAGTACAGCTTTGTCATGGATATGAGTAACCTTGATCTCCTTTCGGAGTTCACCGGCCAAATCTTTTTGGAGACACTACACCCCCTTCCAGTTAGCCAGTTCTGTTGAAATCTCCCAATGTAATGCTTATGGAAGAAGTGACATAAGGATGGCTTCACTGAGTTCTCAATCTCTAGATCCGCGTCTGGCCGATTCATTGCTAGATATGTTGCAGTGTCAAGGGACCCAACAGATTTTGACAAACGATTTAACCTTATCTAGAGCATTCCAGAACTGTCACAGTGACTGGCTAATGATTACTTTTAAAAATTTGCATCCGACTAGTTGTACGATTTTCATATATTTTTTTAAGATCCGATGTTTGTGCTACTTAATGTGACTTTTTATATTGTCCGCAGCAATCAATAGCTAACACCCATGTTATTAATATTTCATTTTCTATTCCCCATTTTACTCCGGGATGAAAGGAATCCGAGGCAACTGTGCGTCCTTTTACCCAAACTGACCTTTCTGTACTTTTAATCCCTATTTATAGGAGACAGAACGGAGCCCGTTCTAGCATACGAAATTATTGGATTTGTGGGTCTAACACAAAGACTCCATCTGCCATCGTTGAAATGTAGTAGCATATGGGTAATTGAACAACGCCATAAATCGCTTATCGTTTCATCAGCTAATGTAGCCGGGTAGGGTAGCTAAGTGTTGGTGGTTGATCTGCAAATCCGAACAAAGTTTGACATGTTTGACGAGGTTATCTACTTATATTTGAGTTGATTTGCAATCAACAATAGCTCTTGAAGAGATGGTATGCTATTTGACGTAAGGGTCGCCTAGCTATCGACATATATAGAACAAGTCCTGCGTCAATACTTTAAAGAGCTCTTACGAGTTTAGAATCTTTCTTTATAATGGAGAAACCCATTATTTCTATTGAAATTAAATGGGCCATGACTTCCAAGTAGGGCGGTGACTTACACCGACTAATGTAGGAATGTTCAAAACTGGGAGGAGACTGAATCGGTCGAACATTTGTTCTTCTGTGTGAGAAATTGTCTTATGGTATTTCCCTTGGTAGTTGTAGGAAGTTATCCATGTTTGTGATAGAACTAGAAGCTTAAACGCTGATAAGGCAATTCTCTTCAGAAGGCGGGTTGAATATTATCATTGTAAATTAATTTTTAGACTGGTCACAATTATTTCGTTCAAATGCGTGAGAGAACCTTTACCCATTGAGGAATAGTAGTTCTTTGGACTTTCTTTCTACTTCTCCTCCATGCTAATTGTCCAGCTTGAATGATAGTTCATGGTCGAACCGAATACTTATCATTAAAAAGAAGTTTTAAAGTCAGCAGATTTTCATTTGCCCCTAGAAGTATGCTATACAAATTATAAACTGGAAAAAAAAAATGGAAAATTTTATCACTTTATTAGTGTTTTTTTATGAATTAAAAATCAAATTGTTTAGATATAATTTTGCTGAATAACGTTAATAACAATCTTGCATTTTTCTCGGTAAGTTTTTATAATTTGGGTGTGGAGATCTCCAAAACAAAATAAGATTGGCTTTACAATTTTGTTATTTTCCTTGAAACCAACATTTTGGCCTTGATTTTTTTTGATTGAAGATTTTTTATATGACTACTTTTATCATATATATCATAAACCAAGGGTGATTGCACTCTTCAAAGAAGGGTAAAATGAAGAAAGTTTATCCAGTCATATCTAGTTTGACATGAAATAAACCTACATTTTTCAAATCTATGATTACCATGGTACGCAAACACGTGATAATGGGGTTTTTTGGGGGGTATAAGTAGGTGTCAGTCGACGCTGCTGCACAAACACTTGACATAACCGCCACCACCTTATCTATCAAATGTAATCAAAATGTTTCCCTCGTTGAGTTGAAAAGCTAATAAAAGCAAATTGTTTTATGATATAGATGGGGGAGTTCTTCTTGCTTTTTTTATTGTTACACCAATTTATTTTGATTTATGTTTTTCCTAATCTATCTACCCTAAGTGCGCATCGATGATAACAATAAATTAATATATGTCTCAATTTTGTTTGCAGGTCCACACCATTAAAGACAATTTGAAAATTCCCATTGCCGTTTTAAAAGCTGGTGAAACTCGCGCCGTCAATCCCGATATTGAATTCTATGAAACATCTGCCGTCTTCAAACTGATCAAGGGTAATGGTCCCGTCTACATTCATGGCCAAAACATCAAAGATGAAGTCGAAGTTGTAGATATGGACGATGATGAGTCTGACGAAGAGGAGGATGGCGAAGAGGAAGAAGATGAGGCACAACCCCAAAAGAAGAAGCAAAAAGTGGAGAATAATGCCGATGGCAAAAATGCCAAAAATAAGAAGAAATAAATCACATTAGAATACAAAAACTACCTCTCTTCTTTTTATAAAGCAACAACAACTCAGTTAGTAGGTAACCGATTTATAAAAAGATGATAAACAACAACAACAACAACACTCCTAACCCGGGGGGTTTGTTAGCAGCGCAGATGTGATTGCAAACCTACACCTCCTCCAAACTACAACAAGAACACATTAAGCTACTCTCTATTTTTAAGACAAAAGCAAATTGGGCGGACATCTCAATAATGACCCTTTACTCGTGCATGTCATATCAACACAAAGACAAACTATAACAATAACAATGAAATTTCCCAAATTCCCAAACCCGAATGCATGGGCGTAAGGGGTGAACAGTTTTTGATGGTGTCTGCCAGCAGTTCCTTGGTTCCTGTTTTATTCTTTTAAATCCTTTCCAAATTTCTTGATTATTTCAAAACAAAACAATGTTTTTTTATGTTAGGAATACTTTTTTTTAAATTTTACTACAATATACAACAATTGTAAACAAAATTTTGGACAGAAAACCGCTTTAACGGTTTTGGAAAATTCCTTTAAAGTTTTCCTTAACAACAAATTTGTTAGCAGCAAAAACAAAAAAAAATCAACCCCAGTTACTTAATTCCAACATCTTCTTAAGCAACAGTAACCAATCAACAATAATACAATACAAAATAATTGTTAACAAAAAAACCAACAACAACAACTAACATAACTATATTCAGGTATTCATTCATTCATTGAAAGCCGAAAGTGTAAAATTTATGATGAGATATGTGTGTGTGTCGTTGGTGCCACACTTGATAAATTTGTGTGGTGCTATGTTTCATTCACACGACGATTCGCTAGGCATTTTTATATACACTACAAAAACAAAAAACATATATCATACCATTTTTATAAAATGCTATGTCAAATTTTCTTTTCTTACTTAACTTGTAGTAAACCATAAGCTAAATAAGAAAAAATTCCATTATACGAAAGAAAAATAATAAATCCAAAATAAAAATTTGAAAAACAAACAAACTAAACGTTATTCTACATTTATTTTTGTTTTAAGATCAAATAGTAGACGTCTATGTTTATAGATCAACAACAGTTTTGATTGACAGTTGATTGTGTTTGCCAATATTACCATAGATACTTACACATATTGATTAGCATAAGACTGCTAATGTGGTCAGAGACACACGATCTTTATTAGCACGACTTTTAATCGCATAACAGACGCACTTTTTTCTACAAAACTCGCATCATCGCAAATAATGGGGTTTAAATTAACCTATATTTGTATTTGGTATTACTCTTGAGAAAACAAAACTATTCGTGGGCGTATTTTTAGCATCAAAGCATATATTTTTTTATGTAGATCTGATATAAAAAAAAAATTTTGAATAGCTGCATCAGGCAAATGTTGTCAACAAAGTCTTTAAAGAAGGTTCCAACAGAATCTTCTCTTTCGTTCTTGTTAAGAAAAAATATATATGTAAATCAACGGTTTTTGTGAAGGATGAAAAAATTTTGATTTTTGGCCTGTAGGTCCGGGAGTTCTTTTGTAAAAAGACTTTTGGTCCAGGAAGGGCTTGTAAAAATACTCATGATTCTCGGTCCGTGGTATTTGAAGATATTGTCCTAAAAAATTAACGCTTGACAGACATATAGTAACGCTTGTAGAAATATTCTTAAAACCCACAGACGCTTTAACGAATATTCGAAGAAATATTTTTTAAAAATCCATATTCGAAAAATTTATAAAAATAAGATTGATGGTTAGATAGTCTAGAAAAACTATGATTTTGAACTGGGAGGTCCTGGAAATATCTTCTTAAAATATTTACGTTTTGCCGAAAGACTTTATAAAAAAACATTATTTTTGATCAGGAATGTTTGCAGAGGTTCTTTAAATGTTTTCATAAAAAACAGTGTTTATAAAAATGTTCATGATTTTCGGCGGGGTCCCTATTTTGTTAGCGAACAATCCATGATTTTGGCTCTGGAAGGGCTTATAAATACACTGATGATATAAGAAAGTGTCCTATGTGCATGATTTTCTATCAAAGAAGGTAATACCAATTGGTAATACCAAAGAATTTTAAATAATTCTTTTAATTAATTTTAAAATAATGAAGACCTGGACTTTTGTTTGAAGTCGTACCCATTACAAATACCAAATTTGAAAACATTTTGGTACCGTTATGTGGTGACTATGCTAAGACGTGGCACTCTTTGAAACCATTCTGGTTAAAATGCCGAATATCTGGAGGTACGCTTATATGAGGACTAAAACAAAAACTTGCATCTATGTGGACAGTTCTATGCAAGGATGTTTCCCACATACTGAGAACACAATCTAACAATTTACAGTGAATTTGCTTTATAACTGTGACTAGAACATCCTAAACCTATCGGTCCAGTTATATGGGTGTTATACCAAAAGGGTGAGATAAAAAAAATCTGCAACAAAGTCAAAGGCCATAATTTTTGCATTTTTCTTAAATTTTATTGAATGAAAGCAAAACATGTCGGAATTAGCATCAAATTTTAGAATAAGTTTAGATTTGTTCGAATTGGTCACCTTTGGCACGAATTATGGCCTTCAAACGGCCAATGAAACCGTCACACGTTGCCCGAATGTTGCTCTGCGGTATTTTGGCTCATTCCCGGCGAAGCTCTTGCTTCAGGTTTTTTTAGTGCCAACCTTGGTTTCCAAAATACTCCAGACTCAATAGTCCAACAGATTGGTATCTGGAGATTTTGGTTGCCATTGTGCGCTGGAAATGAAGCGAGGAATCTCATTTTGTAACCATTCTAGGGTGGCGCGCGCTGAGTGCGATGGTGCTGAGTACTGTTGTAATGTCCAACCATTTCTGCTGATCCTGCTGTTTTTTTCCGTCCACTTCCTTGACGTCGGGCTACGCTACCAGTGTCACGAGCGATGGTACGAGAAACAAAAGATTTATTCACATTTAAATGTTGGAGTGCTTTAACAATAGCAACTTGTGGTTTTCCAGCCAAATATAAAGAAATCACACTATCACGCTTGAATTCCATAGGGAATAACTTTTTTTCTGGAAAATTCTCACCAAAAGGCTTTTGTACGCTTGTAAACAATATAATCAGCTGTCACTGCAATAATTTTAACAGCTATCGGACGAGTGACTTGGAAAAGACAGCACTCTGAAGTTGGTTGCAGTTTTTTCATCTCATCCTGTAGTTAGTTACAAAAGAAATGATAAACTTAATATATCCTCCGTATAAAAACATAATTTTGTGAGGAAGGGCCCGGAGGAAGGGCCAACTTCGTACCAATCAAAATTTTAATTCAAATATTACGATATTCTATGATTAGGATTGCTTTGATAGTTGCAATGTGTGTGATTTGTGTCTTGCAAAAAATCCGAATGCTTCAGAAAGAATAAAGTGAAAAGCAACTGGGGCGAATCAAAAGGAATTTGTAAATGCTCGGCAAGGTAAATTGCAAAAAAAATGTAGAGCTGAGGCTGGACTCTTATTTTAGAAAACATAGGAAATGAAAAATATTTTCTTTATAAAATTATTCAATTGCAAAAGTTTTCATAGGGAAGAATTGAGGACCCAGGTCATGCATATTCGATATGAGTTTACCTTGAATACGTTGAACCATGATTCAAGGAAACAAAATTTCAAATAATGATGTCCAGTATTTTCGTTAATTACAAATTTTACTGCATAGAATGGATAAATGAATATAAATTTTGAAAATAATATATTGTGTCAAAGGTATAATTTTGAAAAAAAAATGTGATTCAACGCCATCGACCTGAAGACGTCAGAGTTATTGATGCCACCATTCTACATGTATATGTATAAAGGTGAATAGTCCAGTCAACTACTTGTCGGAGTATTGATTATTTTTTTACCATTGTTTTGATTGACGCTTTCCCGTTATCATTATGACAACTTTAAAATAATTATTTTCTATATTGTGACAGTTATCAAAATACATCACGTGGCGTAGATTTCGAAAATATTTGGTATCCTCGTCATAAATGATTTTATTATTTTGGTTTTTTACATTTGGTGGGAATTTTTCAAAACAAAATAGGCGGTGCTACAATCACAGTGGAGGCAGTTGAAAGGAAAACAGATATCAACTTTGCCAAATGTATAAGATTAATTATTTTATTTTCAAAACATATTGACCTTTTCAAAAAAAAAAAAAGACACACACAGATAAGATACCTTATGAATGCACTCCTTTTCATTGATGACTACAGTATTTTTGTAATCGCAATATAACGTTTTGTTTTTATTTGTCAATATTAATTAAATATATTGATTAATGGCCCGTCAGGATAAGAGAAATTTGAGGTACTTCAATTAATAAATAATTTGTTTAATAATTTTCTAAGAATTCGTTTCATATAAACGAAATTTTGAAAGTCTTGACGCAATTTTGAACAAAAAATAACGAGTTTTGGTTATTTTTCAAACTTTGAATTATACATCTGTAACTAAGTTTCGAATGTATAGACCGTGTTATCTGGAGATATTTACTTTGTTTTTTTTATATGACGTTGTAAAAAATGCAAACATTTTGTGTCAGTCTAGCTGATTGGTGTACGATATCTCTCGAAGGTAGTATTCGATTCGGTTCATACTTTGCACATCCTCTTATTTCTAGAACACTTATGTCGAGTTCCATGTACAGCCTTATAGATGTACAGGGTGGATTAAAAAACTGCAACCAACTTCAGACTGCTGCATTTCTAATTCACTCGTCCGACAGCTGTTAAAATTATTCCAGTGACAGCTCATTATATTGTTTACAAGCGTACAAAAGCATTTTGGTAGGAATTTTCCAGAAAATTTCTTTATTCTTTATATTTGGCTGGAAACCACAAGTGGCTATCGTTAGGGCTCTCCAGCATTTAAATGTGAATAAATCTTTTTTGTCTCGTACTACAGTGATAGACGGAAGAAAACAGCAACATCAGCAGAAATGGTTTGAAAAGTAAAGAAGTGACTTAATCGGATCGCAGTGGCCGAAAAATGGGTCGTGCGCTGAACATATCGCAATATTCCATTAGTCAAATATTTTAAAATGAGCTCGGGGTAGTCTCAAAAGAGCCAGAGTTGCTTCGCTTGGCCGAAAGTGGTGAACTGCCGAATTTGGTTTTCTCCGATGAGAAAACTTTCGCTGTCCAGCAGTTTGTAAACAAACAAAGGATCATGTTTAGTTGCCAAAGAGGTCAGCTGAAAATGTGCACCTTCGGTTGCCCACTAGAACATAAGCGCCGGTCATGGTGATGGTGTGGGCCGCCATAACAGCCGATGGATGCTCTCCGCTCGTATTAATCGACCATCCAAGAATGGTTACAAAGCGCACAATGGCCACCAAAATCTCCGGATACCCATCCGTTGGACTATTGTGTCTGGAGTATTGTGGAAAGCAAGGTTGTCACTAAAAAATACCAAAGGGTCGATCACCTCAAGCAAGCGCTTCGCCGGGAACGGGCTTAAATACCGCAGAGCAACATTCGGGCAGCGTGTGACGGTTTCCATGGCCGTTTGATGGCCTTAATTCGTGCCAAAGGT